GATGGTGGTGATGGTTGCACAACAACGTGAATGTGCTTAATGCCCCTGAGCAAAGTCAGAGCGGAGACTGGGCAAGGAGCCGCCATCGTCCATGGCAGGAGAGAGGACACGCCTGGCCCCGCGCCCCTGCCCACACGCGCACAGGCAGCGGGCGAAGACACTGTACCTTGACAGCGTGGCCGCTTGCAGGCCGTCCGGTTCTCCAACAGCCGCGCTGCAGGGTGAGAACACAGGAGACGGGGTTTATTCCAGGGGCAGAATTTAGGACACGAGTGCAAGGAGCAAAGCTGGAGGTCCTGGTAGAAGGGACAAGGGCACGGTGGCGGCCCGAAGTGTGGAGCGGATCCGCCTGCAACAGGCACAGCACAGCTGTCGCGGTGGCGGTGGGCCCAGGGCTGGACCGTCGAACGCTGCAGGCCGAGGGCAGACCTCGGCCCAGCCACACGCTTCTGAGCTGAGCCTGGGCAGGGCGGAGCATGCCTAGAACATGTCTGCAAATTCTGAGGCTGCCTCCTATCAAGAGGTGGGGTCTGATTTTCGATCCTTCTAAGAAATCAAACGTGGCACAAGTGCTGACGGACGACTTCTGAATCCAGGTTCTCAAAGGCAATACGACTTCTGTCCCATCTCTCTTGGGACGCTGGCCTTGAAACTCCCAGCTGAGGGAGCAGAAGCCCAGGCCACATGGGGAGCTCGGGGAGGTGTTGTAGTGAGCTGAGATGCTTTGAAGGGTTAATGAATAAAAAGGTATAATGTAATTATAGTTGCTAGGGAACTTTAATGAACGCTATTTGCTTCTGTACAAAGCTTGCGGTTAGCAATTGTTAGACTTCAGGGCCTGATCGCCCTACGCAAAGTATGTCAAGGGTTCAACTTATGATCGATGTGTAACTGGAAGAATGTTCTGTGTTTAATCTATAACTTAGATTGTGCTTTACTTCAAAAATTGTAATCTGTCTTTGGGCACCAGAGATCTGTGAGAACAGCCAGATCTCAGGACTCTGTGTCATTGAAATATTGATTGTACATTCTGCCTTTGTTTCCTTTGTTTTAGAGTACCTGTTTTATGCCACGTAGCCTCCCTCAAATTAGTATAAAATTCCTGTAGAAGCAAAAGACTGGTGCCACTCTCTTGTACTGCTTTTACGCGGGCAGAGGTGGTCGCTGGCCAGCTAATAAAGACTCTCAATTTGGCTCCATTAAATTCTCTCGTGGTCTGTTCGCGCCCTCCACACTACAACAGTGTCTCTGTGGAGAGCCAACACCCACCGCCAGAAACATGCCGTCAGCCACCGTCTGCCTGGGACCGCCTTAGGCCCCAAGGAGAATCACCCAGCTGCACCCAGTGAAGACAGGAGGCCGGACCCCAGGGAGAGACA